AAGAAGAAATGTTCGAGCCTATGTCAGTATGCAACCTGTAAGCATCCCCTGGTCCCTTCACCCCAGCGATGCCACCCAGGGAAATGCAGTGCACTGCACGGTTCCCTGGCTGCGCTAGCTGTGCAGCATCTGGCAGTTCCTGAATAACCACTGTTTGTCCTGCAAAACCCATCTTGAGCTTTAACTGTGAAAAAACACTGAAGTCCTCCACATTAAAAGGTACAAAGAAAATGTTGCTTCTAATCAGAAAGCAACACTAATATATGATGTTTAATTTGTACCTCATTTTTTCAAATTGCATGCTGAAGTGACATAGAATACTTTTGCCTAAACCCCACAATTCACTGAAAAATGGGAGTTGCAAAACTGTATCCTATTACAAGAGGATTGAAGGGAAGAACAAATACACACAACAGTTGTGATTCCTCACAGTTTAAGATTATGTAAAGCAGGACAAATCTGATGGTTTCTGCTGACAAATAACACATGGGGAGTTTAATGCTACTCCTAATTGGGTAAAAGAGCTAATGCCAACTGCTTTCAGTGGGAACTGGCTCAGATCTTCTCTGACACAATGGAAAATACAATTCTAAAGTTCTTGTTCATTTTTGCAAGAAATCATATTTCCACAGCCTGTCTTACTCTTATGAAAATATTTGATCAGAGATCATATTCAGTACCTCATATGTTTTTCATGCATATGGAAACCATCATAATTATCATTCACTCTTTAAGTCAAAGACTTTTGACAACTAAAATATTATCTTTCTAAAGCCTTTTGAAAACTTAATGTAAATCATTCACAGACCTTTGAGGATTATGGGGCAGGGGGGGAGGTGAGGAAGCAGACACAACTGAAGGTCACTAGGACACCACATACCAATAACTCCTCACAGACTGCAGCCCTGATAGCATTTTGAAAATTGCTTTGCATGTTGAATATAGAGGCTGTAGCTGAACAATTACCATCTTGCCTATGTCAGCCCACATACTGAAGCAGCAGTCTCCTCAGCCAGAGAGGGATCAGCCAGGACAAACCCCCAGGGATTTCCCTGTCCTCTCAGACATATTTTAAACACGGTTTTTGGAAGCAAGAGACCACCAGGCTTCCAGAGTAATCTCTTTTTGCTGACAGACAATACCCTTGTTATCAGAACTGGCAAACCTTGTCCTTTGCTCTGAATTTGTATGAAATCAATGTGAGGGACTATTTCAAACAAATAATACAATTCACTTACATTTGTCCATTACAAAAGCTTGCTAATGTAAGAAGAAAGGAATGTTGCCTAAATAAATTACACCAGTGTGTGTTTTTTTTCAGAGGGGCATACAACCTCATGGTGACACATAATTACCTGCATCATTTTTAGTTTAGATTATAGATGGATATGCTGATTTCTCATTTAACACTTGGCACGCCAGATCCTTATCTGCAGCAGATTAAAGTAACTAGAGAGGCCATGTGAGAAATCTAGGTCAATTCATTTATGTTACAAAATACAGAGTTCAGTGTTTTCAAACTCCAGCCACAAAGATAGTGATGGATCAGTATAGGCAAGGACAATAATGACAGGGTAGGTCCTCATAAAGTGATGTGAATCGACTGAAGATCTAACCTGGCATTTTTTTACTCAGCTTTGTTAAAGACTCATGCTCAGTTTTGCCATATTGTGATTTAGTCCCTTGAAACTGAAAGGAGACTAGCATGCAGTGAGCAAGTATTTTGCTCAGCAGTAGCTGTTTGTGGGATTGTGTTCCTGCTCATTATGTGATAATAGCCTATGGATATTGAACTCCTTGGACTAGCTTTCTGTGCAGCAGGGGGAAACGTACACATGAGCACATATACACACAGGCACATTTTGTAAGGAAACTTACCACTGCTAGAAGCATCATTGAGATTTAGCAGCCCACCTCCGAGCCCTCTGTAACTATGGTAACTGTAGGTCCCATTGCCATTGATGTACAACACCTCCTGTGTGCTGGAAACAGCTGATGTTGAGTAAGTGACCTGGGCTGGCTCCTGTTTGTACTGCTTGTCAGCCGGAGCAGCCTCATCCTGCAAAAACAAGGACAGGTTTTGAATTATTGTTACATTTATCCTTGCACGAGAGGGTCTTTTTCATTGTTAAGACTCCACATCTATTGCTTTCAGAAAAATATAATACATGTTAAACAAGCACAGATGAGTTTTTGATTGAATATTGTTTCTTTTCAGAAATAAATAAACAAGAATACAGGTTTCCTACAAATCTGAAAATATTCATTTGTGCTCCACAAGCCAACCACATTGTTTCTCAAAGGAAAAGATGCATCCTGTCACCCTGAAGAGGCCACAGTTTCCTGCAAAACCCAACTATGTCCAGAAACAGCATGGAAAGGATAGAAAAAAGCCATTACTTTCTGAGTACAAGAATGATTCTTCCGAGCCAGCGAATCACACCTTTCTGATAAGACAAACCAATACAGAATGCACTAACCACTTCTTTTGATGTATCAGCCTCAGAAATGACAGAAGAAATAGAGGAATGGAATAAAGCAGCATTTCCTATGTTTGCAGAGTGCTGAGTGCTGAGTGAGCATCCATACACACAAGGGCCAAGTGGTAAGCATGTGTCTACAAATGTGACTTGAAAGCATTTGTTTTCTTTGTATGAGCAGTTGCAGTTTGTACACTAGGAGTTGCCTTAACTGTTCCCTGTTTGCCTCTTTGATATCTGCATAATATTTAACAGGATTTAGCTCAACAGCCCTTCAATTTTGCCCTAAAGAAGACCATGTTTTAGGTGTATTTTTCCCCTTCTGCACTTACTGTATCTACTGCTTAGAGCACCTCACCTCCTCGCATCATCACAGAATGTCCCTGTGGCAACTTTAGTTGCCACAGGTGAAAACAAAAGCATTAAGAGATTCAGTGTGTTTTAGAAGTTGGAAACAAGGAAAACTATCAGTGTGTGACCGCTCAACCCACCACAGGGGCCTGAGTGCCAGAACTTCTGATTTAGTCTGCAAATATGCTTGAACACTTTCTTTGTTCCTTTTAAGTTGTAGACTTTTTTCATGGGCCTGATTTTATACTCTTATCTAAGGAAAATATATTTCAGTGATTTCAAATGAAATGGATCTACAGAAGATCAGTATTTGAAAAATAGAGGTGAGAATGTTTGTCGACATTTTCAGAGTAGTTAACTGAAAAATGGCCTGTCAGAATTATCTCCTCTTTACGTAAGATTTTGTCCATTTCATGCCTCTCTCCTCTGCACAATTCTTCTATGGTTGCTAAATATACCAGACTTATTAAGAATGCTCTAAAACATCTCAAACCCTTTTTTACAATGCTTACTTAAAAATAAGAATGTGTATACCAGCACAGAGCAATCAAATAGTTCAAACAGTGCCCAGTCTCTGTGTTGAAGCAAAAAGGGTTCTGAAGCAGCTTTCCTGTTTGCATTAGAAGCAGTTGCCAATTCCACCTCTCAAATAAGGCACTACCAACTTCTGAGATTAAGACATCCCTGTCTTGTAGATATTTATTGGTGAAAGAGAATTGGGCACAACTGAGATGACTCAGGAGAAGGTATATATATTATTAACAGATATTTTAATATTTAATACAGAACACTGAACCACCAGATAATTAATTCCATAAACAATCAGAATGGGGCCTTTTGGGCATTAATAGGAGGTGAGGCAAAGCTTTGCAGTGTTAAAAAAGCTGGCCAAACTGGTCTCCTATGCATTTTCTCAAGTAATAATAGGCTTAAACAAAGAGCCAAAATTGCAATGTATTTTTGTCAGGGGTTCAACTTTAACGTAATTTACCTTTTATCTCCAAAGGCCATTGCTGTCTCTTACAAGAGAAAATGTATTATATTCTCTGAGAAAATATTCATAAGCTATACAGTAAAGTTCTATCTTGGCAACAAAGCTTAGCTTATTGTCCAAAACTTTAACATTCTGAAGGCTGACATGTTCTGTATCCTTACGTCTAAAATTAAGTGATGCTTCCTGCCATAGACTCACTCACAGCCTCATTCTCACAAAGAGAAGTAAGGGATCTTCTGCAAATTTATCAAGGACTGGACTGTGCTCAAGGAGTGCAAGGCAAAGGGGACTAATTCTTATGGCCAAGCAGAGTATCGCAGGGGCCCTGTCTCCTCATCCTGACTGCCTGGAACCCACAAATTTGCTGTCCCTGAATTTGCATGTCCTCCAAAGTCAGTGCACTGAAGAGCTAACAGTGAGTTCCTTGCAGAGCTGATGCACTGAGCTTCTAGCAGAGGACAGCAAGCAGAGCCTGTCTGGAGGTCACAGCAAGTGCACTTGGTCCATCTTGGTGCACACCAGCCCTTGTGTCAGAGCGAATGGCCAACAAGTGGGAGACCTGAATTGTGGCTCCTTGTTGCAATGCATGGTGAAGAGGCAGAATATTTGGGATGCCAGGTCTTTGCTAGCTATGGTGAGGAGGGGATCTGAACTCAGAGCTGCCATCTCCTAGCAACCAGGCTCAAAGCAAAACTATGGTGGGAGTTGTACCTGAAGCTGTGCCACTCTGTGGAAAGAAACGCACGATTCATAGGGCTAGAGAGACAGCAAACAGACAGGGTGTATGACTCAGTTCTCTTTCAGAGAAGTGCTGTCCTGGGAGGCTTCCAGCCCTGCTCCCTTACAGCTACTCCCTAATGCAAAACTCACAAGCTGCTCTGATTTTGGGAGTCCAAGGCTGGGGCTGTGCTGGCAAAGAGGGAACTTGGCATGGAACTAACAGAAGCCCTGTGCACCATCGTGTGCCATGTGCTGGAGCTTGAGGAGGAGCCCAGGCATCCTGGTGGGGAAGGCACTACGCAGAGGGATGAAAGGGATTGAGGAGGATGCTGAGCTCAGGACTTCTGGGTCTATGTATAAGCTCTAAACTCTCAGCCACTATACAAAAGGTGGCTTCCTTTAAATATTACATATACTTTTAAAGAGCAGTCCAATTACCTGTACCTAAATGATGAATAAGTTACCATGCATTTCAGACCTGAAATCTGAGCCTCCTTTAAGTGCTTAGCTCACTGTTTCAGTCTGACTAAATGCAGAAGCAGGGTAGGATTTTTGGTGGGCATGTTTTGAGCAGGCTCGGGTGTCAGCCTTACTGGTAGGATTATGAATCATTACACTGGTCCAGAGGGGTTAGGTGTTACCTTTCATTCATTCCCCTGGGATTTAAGCAGTTTTCAGAAATGTTCTGTATTCAAAAGGCAAAACTGTCCTTTTTCCTTGCAGCCACACCACAGATAAAGAAGCCATGCTCTTTTGTTCTTGGTGAGAAAGAAGGTGAATATCATCAATCATCATATTCACTTTTGTATACCTGAGATCTATTCTGCAGAGATCCGTCCTCTTCTTTTGTTTTATCCTACTTGCTTTGCTTTTAAACTAATGTAGAAATTACACATAGTGTTGTTCCAGAACTGAGATTTTTTTAAATATCTGTGTTAGTCATTCAACACTTCTTGTTTTCTCCCATATTATGTTTACACTTGAAAGGCTTATTAATTTATTTAAAATGTTATTTTAAAATAAGACATTTTAATTTAATCATAATCAGTAACGGCTAACCATTTATTAATGTTTGACCTAACTACCTGCAACACAAGCAGGTGTAATCCATAACAAATTTATAAAACCTGTGAAGTAGTAACTAACCATTTTTAAACTATTTATAATTTACCTTTAATAAGAAGCATGAACTAGATGTGAATAAAACATTTGTTCACTTAGAATTTGACTTACACCATCTTCATTTTCTATATGGCAATGGAAATAAGTCATCCTAACAATATTTCTCTTCTGAATTTGTTTTGGAGAAGTAACTTAAGTCTTGAGCATATCATCTTGAAAATTATGGAAATCACAGAAATGCAAAAATACCTTTTAGGCGCAAAACCTTATGAGGTTCAACCAAGACAAGTGCAAGGTCCTGCACCTGGGTCGGCACAATCCCAGGCACAGCTACAGGCTGGGCAGAGAAGAGATTCAAAGCAGCCCTGTAGAGAAGGACTTGGGGGTGGTGGTTGATGAGAAACTCGACATGAGCAGGCAGTGTGCGCTTGCAGCCCAGAAACCAGCCGTATCCTGGGCTGTATCAAAAGAAGCATGACCAGCAGGTCAAAGGAGGTGGTCCTGCCCCTCTACTCTGCTCTCGTGAGGCCTCACTTGAAGTATTGTGTCCCGTTCTGGTGTCCTCAACATAAGAAGGACATGGAGCTGTTGGAGCAAGTCCAGAGGAGGGCCACAAGGATGATAAGAGGACTGGAGCACCTCCCATATGAAGACAGGATGAGAAAGTTGGGGCTGTTCAGCCTGGAAAAGAGAAGGCTGCGTGGAGACCTCATAGCAGCCTTCCAATATCTGAAGGGGGCCTACAAGGATGCTGGGGAGGGACTCTTCGTTAGGGACTCTAGTGGTAGGTCAAGGGGTAATGGGTTCAAACTTCAACAGGGGAAGTTTAGATTAGATCTAAGGAAGAAGTTCTTTACAGTGAGGGTGGTGAGGCACTGGAATGGGTTGCCCAAGGAACTTGTGAATGCTCCAGCCCTGGTGGTGTTCAAGGCCAGACTGGACAGAGTCTTGGGTGACATAGTTTAGTGTGTGGTGTCCCTGCTCATGTCAGGGGGCTTGGAACTAGATGATCTTAAGGTCCTTTCCAATTCTAACTATTCTACAATTCTATGATAAACCATGCTAAAATACAAAGTTATCATCTGTTCACTTGAAAAGTGGAAGCATAGACACTGTGATCCACAACTTGGTATACACCAGAGATACCTATGTCTCAGTTTTATGTTCAGGTTTCTACTAGAACACAATTTTCTCTTTAAAAAAGGCACATAGCTAGAATTTATTTGATTTTATTTTTAGTCAGATGGAAGCCACTAAGTAACCCTCTAAGGACAGTGCATAATAAGAGATTTCATGACCTATTGCATAACCTGTTCATTGATGAAACCTTCTATGCTCTGACTGATATTCTGAGAAACTAATGAATAGTTTAAAAGGAAATACCACCCAGAA